GCCAGCGCGGGTCGTTGGTCTGAATCAGCACGTGCCCTACGGGCATATTACGGGAAATGGGCTGTTCCGCTTGCCACCAATGGACTAGGCAGCTCAGTTGTCTTGTAAGGACAATGGGGGAGGTTTTTTTCTCTTCTACCATGTCCACCTCTGTGACCTTCTGCAAACTCCGCTTTTCTCCTCTGTGAATCCTCTCTCCGAGCAGTCTTTGATCTCTCTTGATTTCAATCTATCGCCTCTGGTGTCCTTACTCTCCATCTGACAACAGTGTCTGTTCTATGTCTATGAAGCTTGCAGTTACTACTGGTCTCCCATATCATTTCGTTCCTGCGCCATGAGTTGTCGCCATGAAGGTCAACTCAGTGGCGGCATCAAGCTTGACAGAGGCCTCTGACAGTGGAGTGGAGATTGACATAGGTGCCTCTCAAGTTCCTGCTAGCGCCGGTACGGTCTCAGATGAATTCTGATGAGTGCATATTAACTGGTCCGGTTACAGAGTGTAAAATTGGCGAAAGTAGAATGCTCAGACCGTCGGGGATTGTATTTCACGTATGATAAGGTGAAGATCATCAAACGAGACTATGCATAGGGATGCTGAGGGGAATTCGATTTCGCAGTACAAACTTCGCACGACACTCACCGAGGGTTCACTTGTCTTGATGATGTCGCACTCGCAACCTATAAAATCACAGACCAGAAGTCAGAGATGGGTGGTGTGAAGTTGGACAAAAAGATGAGTTATTGCTTAGGTTCACATATTTCTGTCTCACAAGCATTTGTCAGATATATGTATCACATTCTCGTTGATAGGCTAAGGATTCTTTGCCAGAGCGACGGCACACCGTGGTTCCTATGATTCCTGAATCTCGCTACCATTCCCTGCAACTTCACTCAAGAGTTCCACTGACACTGCATTTAATACCTTCAGACCCAAGTCAGTGAGGGCCGAGGCCACAGGGATTGCGGATGAAGAGGCAATTAATAGGTTGGCTCACCGCTCTGTGAATTGTGTGCTGCTGACATTCCTTTATTTGTACATACTCTAGTGGACCCGTATTTCGTTCGCTTATTCACTACTAGTACTTATTACTGCATTAGTTTCAGTTAATAGATTGAGTCTTACATCATTTCAAAAATTGAGTAACAGGCCATGCCGCTCGCCGGCGTTACAGTGTCATTGTAAAGTAGAGGGTGAACCAACCAACGTTACTGGGCACTGCCGCTCATCGGCCCTACCCGCTTTATAAAAAAATAAGTGGTGGACTATGCCTCCTGTGGGAGGAAGGCCCCACACTAACTTATGGTCCAGTAGATCATGGAGCTGCAGAGTTTTGGTGCTCTGTAGCCAAAAAGGGGAGCTTGAAAGAATTGAAGTCCAGGGAGCAAGAAAAGGCATCTCTTTCAAGTGTTCACGACCTGTATCACACAGCAGAGGCCGTGGCCGCTATCTTTGCAGTGGGACTGCAGTTTGTACAAGCCATTGCCCTGTGTTGTTTTTTTGTGGGCACAACAATCTGGCAGAAGGATGCTGAGAGAAACAAATTGAGTCAGCATTTGGACAAGTGTAAAAGAGGAGCCCGAGTAGAGAGGGAAGGTTGTCATCTCCCCAGCCTACAGGCTTTCGACATGAGCACTCCACAATTGGTTACCAATTCCAAAACTCCACGCAGAAGCACAATCCAGATTATAGCGCCCCCTGCACCTGAGCAGTACTTCTTGTGTTGTGTCCCTGCTGCCAAGAGTGTCCCTGCCACTTATATTGATCCCTCGCTTCTGCTCGTTACCACGTAGTTACCTTGTAGATGTATTAAAAACGATTTGAATTTGACATGTCTTTTCATTGTACATGGGTACAATAGCACTACTGAGCTGGGGGAGTGCCCAAACAAGGATGGCAGCATTGATAGCAGCAGTAGAACGGAATCATCTGTGTGAGGTTGATAGCATGAATGAGTCTGGGATGGTTGATAGTGCCAAGGGAGGAGGACCAGAATAAATGAGGGCCGCCAGGCGACAGGGGAAGGCGGCGGGAGGTGGCGGGAGGTGGTGGTGGTGATGGGAGTGATGGGGAGTGATGGAAGTGACAAAAATAACACATGGAGTATCCCGGTATCGTGAAACTTCCCAATCAGGAAGGCCGCCAGCTTAGTGTGTGACACAGTGTGACGCAATACCGCGGTGTCACGGGTACGGGTGTCACGGGTGCGGGTACGGTATACAGTTTAGATAAACCCTCGAAAGAGAAAACTGCCCTAGCTGCATTTAAACCATCTAAAATGCTGTTGTTTCGAATTTCACCCGTGGTTAAAACCGCGGTGTGACGGGTCACGGGTACGGTAGCCGATCGTGTTCCCACGGTATCCACCCATGTCACACCCTACGCGGCCGGCTGGGCCTTTGAGTTGAAAAGGTCCTAAGGGACCTTTTTCAAAGGGTGGTCTCAGCAGGTTAGACACGAAGCCCTTTCACATACCAATTGGATGGACCATCATGATGGGATCAGTCCATCAGATTGGTTGCTATATAGGGGCAGGTGGATTAACTTTTAGCCTGCTTTTAAGCCACAAACAAAGAGTAGTGTACTTTCAGGAGAAAACACAAGTACAGAGCTGATAAAGTGCTTGCACAGCCAGCCTTTGTATGTTGCATTCTCCATTTCCTTGACTTCCGTGGTCTGAACAGGTAGATTGAGCCCGTCGACACTTCCAAACGTGCCCATTAGATGGGGATCCCATTGGATGATCAGGTTGTTGTAGGATTGAAAGTTGTTGATGGTGCTCGACCACCTGATTTCTGCCTTGGGAATCCTGCGCAAAACAGCAAGAAAGATGTTGAATCCAAGGGTGATGTACTGAGAGACCATCATGGGGATCAGCGTGAAGATCTTCTGCAAGCTGATCTCACACATGGTGGAATTAAGGTAATGGAGAACAAGCACATGGGCACCAGCGGCATCTAGAAATTGTCCACCTGGATGTGGCTTTCCTGCAGTTCAGACATCATTTCGGGGGATGGGAGGCCCAAAGCGGGTGTCGATGATAGTGTCAAAGGTAATGACATTGAAGCCCATATTGTGGTGATGAACACACAATCACTGCTGCTCGTGTGAAGGACCTGCCATGTGTATCCCACCTCGGGTTTGGAAGTAGCTGCATCCTGCAGAGATACAGCTGACTCTGCTTTTTACACTCTGTGCACAGTATTGGATTCATCCTTCATTTCTTCTCAAGTAAAAGTTGGACAAGGAAACTGCACAACACACTTCTAGGCTAGTTTTCTACAAGTGAAAGATTTCAATCACAGCAGTGTATAGGCCAGTATATTGCTCTTTGCCTGTAGGGAATGAACTTGTCAAAAGGTAATGCATTAAATTATGACTTGAAAATCAGTTAAAAAATGATCCGACCCGGGCTCGAACCGAGGACCGCCTGCGTACAGAAGAAGTGTGAAGCAGATGTGATAACCAACTACACCATCGGACCCATGTGCTTTTGGTTGACATTCAGGCTCAGAGGGGCCTTTGGCAGAAGCACTTATATAATGGGCAAAATCATTACAGGTTTATTCACCATGAGGCACATCATGTACCTCACTGATTCTGAGCACAGAAGATAGTATAGGTTGAAATCTGACCAGTGGTAACTTATCAAATTGATGCTGAAGCCCAAATAATTGGCATTAGGTGAAAGCAGTCAAGGTAGACAGATTCTGGGTTGATTCTGATGTTGATTCTCGGATCGATTCTTGGATATATTCATTAAGATTTTCTACCTGTTATCATACATCACACACTTTGCTCCTTGTGATGCTACACAGATTTGTGGGGCTTTGGTGGGACTGAAGCAGCAGCATGAATGGCCCGGGAAGACGCTCAGAGCAGCTATTTTGGAAGAGGCAGAGCTGCTGCTTCCAGTGCCACTGACATTGTAACCCTTTGACAAGGGGGTCTTGGGGGACAGGGCAACTTGGTATGCTTGCTCAGGCCTCTGTTGTGTGATTAAAATGACTATTTCACTTATTTCTCATTAACCCTAAATGCTGAGCTCAAATGCCAATCACTGTACTTAAGATCAGTATTAAAACTGCATTAATCCTTCCTACACCTCTGTAAGGAATCTCTTGTATATATACCATTAGGATTTTCTTTTTCATTTATTCTCCGTACTTACTGTTGATTCAACTCATGGAACCTGTATTACATAACTAGCTGGTCAAGAGATTCATGCCAGTGCATGGAATTTAACTACACTTTTACCTACCATCACCTCACTTAACAGCCTTGCTTATTGAATAAACTCCAAGATAGAGGCCAGAACGGTTAAGGTGGATTGTCATAGCTAAACTACCGAACCAATACTTTCCAGAACTCGTTGTCTTTGTGTTAGGAGAACCCACGGCCCATAGCTTGCCTCATAAGGATATCCTGTAGAGGCAAAGCACATCCAGCATGCTCGGGTTTACTGCCATAAGTCTCCAGGATTCAAAAGAAAACCTGGTGTGCATCCTCTGAGCATGATCAGAAAAGAAAGGCTCAAAGGCGAACATACAACTCCCCAGGTCCTAGTTGCCTCTGCGGAGCAATCAAGCCCGCCTAGCTCAATCGGATAGAGCGTCAGACTCTTAATAGGCGGGTTTATCTGAAGGTTGCGAGTTCGACCCTCGCGGTGGGCTAGTTCTTTTTTCTTTCTCTTTTTCTTTTGGACCCCCCCACTGCCCAGCCTTTGGAATGCTTTCAATATCTCTTAGAGTTTTAAAAATGTGAGTATTTATAGTTACTTTTAGGTAGGATTGTTCAAAGAATATGTAGAATCCTCAGCAGAGACTCATGAGCCTGACACACTAATGATGAAAGTTGTGATTAGGATCTAGATTTGCTTGATGATCTGCATGAACCTGTTGGTTGAAAAAGTTCCAAAGGGTGTGGAACTAGAAAATAGATCAAACTAAGTCAGACTAGTTGGATATAGAACTGGATAGATGTGGGGAGGAGGAAGCAAAAACGACACCTGTGTGATTCGAACACACGTGGGATAAACCCAACCGCTAAGAACTACCATAAGTAGCAGGCGATCGCCTTAACCACTCGGCCAAAGTGTCATTTGAGGAAGAGTTATTCACCACATATAAGGCCTACAAAGGGGGTAGACCTAGGATAGCACTTGTGGCCTAGTTCTGGACCTTCAAAGTCCTCTGAGTTAAGATCTGTTGGAATTAGGATTCCACGCTCACATCAAACCCTGCAGATTGATTATTCATGAATAAGGCAAGATTATTTATTCATTCTTTACAGACATTGTTCCTCTCCCCTGCGCCGCTTGTACCTTTCATTTCGCTTTATTCGTGCTAATTAGTTCCCACTCTTCATTTATTTAACTTGTAGTTATTTGTTGAATCCCCTGCACGTTTGTGAGGGTCTTCTGTGAATCCTGAGTAAAGACCGTGGTTACCTTTATTTCAACAAGATCACCCAGTCTGGCTATTGTGCAAGATAAGCTCTAGCAGGGTAGTGATTCAGTCTGCCCTCACCCATCCTATGCTAGCTTTATACTACTCTAATTATGCATACACTATGTAATGACACTTGTGCAAATTGTTGTAGAACAATTTCATTTCAGGTCAAGGGAGGGTAGGCTGACATGTGTAACCTCACACAAGAAGGTGCCTGAGTACTCCACCATCTGGTTAATAGTGACTCTGAGGTTGATTATCTTCCCCCTCGCACCCTCGATCCAGATCACTACACTGTGTTGAGCCCCCCCTGTAGACACAGGTAAGTGGTGGTTCGTCTATGTAGGTCTACATGTGTCTACCCATATAAACAAGGGGTTCTACACCAGATTGGCATACCCTTCACAGCTGTTTATGCGTGTACAGCTATGTCATGTAGGCACAGCATGTCCACATTGGTTACTTACCTGTACTGTTGGCTACCTTTGTCTACCAATGGTAGACATTGTTCTGGCAACCTGCCACCATCCGGTTGTGTACATTTCCACAGAGCATTCTCCTGCTGCCACATCTCATACCTGTAATGGTCACTCAACCTGTAATAGACCATGGCTGCTCGAACATGCATGTTGTGCTCAACCTGGAACTGTATCATAAACAAACTTTTATGCTTTTACTTCTTGTCACCCCTGCAAATCAATAGGATTGTATTATCCAGGTAACTGAAAGATTTCTGGATTGTTCAGAGGATAGTTGAACGTTCATTGAACATACAGTTAGGCCGAGTTTGATGCCTTCTGATGCTGCAGGCACGGTCCTTCCAAACAGACCACACTGCTAGTGTCAAGTGTGCCAAAACAGGAAAGCACAGTAATAGAAGTAACTGCGAGGAAATGTTTAATTCATGATTCACATTAATTGGGAACTCACCATATGTGTCTAGCACATGTATCTAAATGTATCTACATACATGGGTCTACCATAGGTCTACCTCAGGTAGACACACTGTGACGGATATCCCAACAAACACCGACTAACCACCAGAGCCGCTTCGACACTGTCGAGTCTCGCAAGCAACATGCTACGTACATGATAAGTTCCAATATTATCCGAGCTCATGTGGAGACTCGTGCACCTGTGCCTGCAGTGGACATATCAGGATGTGTGGTGTGATTTGCACTGGCAACGTGCAATGCAACTGACACAACCCTCCTGAGTGAGGCAGCGCATAGGGGATTTAATGTCAATAGGGCTTGCAAGTCACAAGGAGGATGACATTGTGAGCTCAACTTAGTTTACATGGCACTACTTAATTAGCGTGCCCCCATCTCCTCCACATAGTGCACCACTAACACATGGCCCTCCAACCGAGACAAAGTCCCAGAGGTTCCAATTCGATATTTAGTGCTCCTGCGGACATCCCGATGCGTGTGCAATGACAAATGTACTTTGGTTTTGCAATGCTCTTGCACTGATGTTCCGTGTCCCATGTTGTACCTAGGTTTTCCGATCCTACGGCTACTGAATCATCATTACCTCTTGGGAAGGCCCAGCAATGGCGGAGACATGCACAAGGTAAGTATCTTCAAACATGCTGTCAAATTCACGCAATGTAAACTGATTTACAACCATCTTGCACACCGTGCCCCTTCACTTCGCATTTCCAACTGCTGCTGAGGGGTCAGTATTCAGATCAGACTCTGGGAGCGCGTGTCAAAGATATGTGGGCTTATCTTGTGCTTCATCGTAGCAAGATTACTCTGCTTACATTGGGATTGTCAACTGTTTTCTGGTGCACTGCATGTCATCCCACCTGTGCTGATTGTAATTTTCGGAGGTCCTGCTGTGCGCTGAGGTCAGCAGTGTTTGTGTTTGACTTACCAGAATGCTCATTTACTACTAGAATAAACTACTAGTGTCATCTTACAGGTCATTTTACAGGGAGTTTTGTATTGGCCACAGAGTTCAGCTCCTCGAACTTATACCACCGGCGGATTTTGAGCTGAATTCTCTAAGAGACCCGCCATTGGCGGCAAGATCACAAATTTATCTAAATCTACCTACACCTGCATGTACTCAGAAATTATGGAATTGATCTCTCACAATCTATGTCTTCGCACCAGCAGCAAGTTCACTGCCTTCGAGATGGGGAGAAAACACTTAGGCATGTACATCATTCTCATCTTTTAGCAGGACCAAGAGACGAACATCCAAACTCAGTGCAATGATTTTTGAAGAGTTGCAGGCAGTGTGGTAAAATAAGTATAAAACATAACATTTGGCAGGGACGTGAATGAGAAATCCTTCAAGCCCAGTGAGAAACCCGTGTCGGGAGATCTGTACAGAATTGTTTAGATAGTGAAAATCTATTGGAATCGAGACAGATCCATTCCTAAATATTTTTCCTCCAAGCCATCAAAGCCATGAGGTCTTTCCATGCGAACCATCTGTTCAATTCGACTGCAACCGATTCAAATAAAACCATGCACGAACGACACTTCACAATTTTCTAGGTCGCCTAATTCTAAATGTCCGAGACATCAAAATGGCACGGTGGTTTGACACGCATCCCACAACTTTCTTCCTTTCTCCCACCTTCTTCCGCAGTGTCCCGGTCCTTCTTGAGTTCTGCTGTCCCCGCTAACAAGCTGGGCTGGTACAATATGTTCAAGGTCATTGTCTCTTCTCTATGGCTTCAAGCCCCTCAAGTTCTTGTATTCAAGCCATTGTCAAACCTCGCGGGAAAGCTCAAATTCAAGCATCATTTCAAGGAATCTCGTGCTCGTTGCCCACCTGTCTGGTACTTCTGAAGCTCCCTGGAGGTTCCTTCAAGTGACTGACCTATGTCTGGACTTTGGACACTGAATGGTATTCCTACCTAATGCCACCTTCGATTTTCTCGGCATGCACCATCTCTGCATTGCAGACTTATCCTATGGTAGCCGGAGTCGATGTAATACAACTTCTTTTTGATACATATTTGAATGGATTCCTATATTTTCCCCTGCATATGGAGTGGAATTGGAATTACAACGATACCAATGCAAATGAATGCATCACAACAGATTTCTTCGCGTAGACTAAGTGGTTCCCGATTTCACCACATCTCTCTCTTTGGGCACAGATCTCAATTGAAAAAAATCTGTCCACACTAACTTTTTGGTGGAGAATCTGTTCAATCCATTTTTACCGTTCCGAACAGAGAACCCAACACGGGTTGTTCACCGGGCTTCAAGCCTTGCCCACATACACTGGAGCGAAGTGACAGCATGTCTTGTTTTTGATTCTCATTAGTGCCACAGAATCTTGGCTAGGCCAATACAGTATTTATTTCTCTGGTCAACCCCCTTTGTACACAGAGAAATACATGCATCCAATTATGTCTAAAACTGGATGACCACCTTGTCCACATGTGCCTGCAGCTCGAGGTACACATACACCGCCTTGGCCTCCTCGAACGAAAACACCTTATCAATGACCAATATTTGTACTGGAACACTCAGATACTGTGTGGGGGGAGGTATTATGAAGAAAACATACTCCTTGACCAAGCCCACGGAGATGCTGCGGATCTTGAGGCCCTTCTGGATGACCGGGATGACAATATCGGGGGGCCCGACATCCGCTATGTTGCCCAAGAAACCAATGATGTTCATACTGCCGCCGAATTTGACAGCAGAAATTGAGCGGGGGAGAGTTGTGTTTCCGACATCCTGGATCGGTGACAAAAATAAAGATGCGTCCGGGATTCGGAATCCCTCTAAGCCATGAACCTTGATAACATGAACAGCACCCTGTCCTTCAGTGAGCCTCAGCACCTCCTCATCCCAGTTTGGCTCGTCTTGTAGTTGATAACATATTTCAAACCGAACTTAGGCACTGTCTTCTGCTTGTTGTCTGATGAGGAAAGGGGATGACAGTCGTTCCAGAGGCCACAGCAAACTGGAGAGCAAAGCTACAATGCCGCAGGGGTAAAAAAAATCAAAATGGGAGGCACATAAAATGGGATTATACACACATCAACACATGTCCAGTGCTCATAACCAGGACGGTGTCACCCGCTCTGAGGGGCTCCCAGCCTGAGACCAGGCTACTGTAAGCTGTCACCGCAGTGTATCTAAACCCCCACAGTCACAGTCGCTCAATATCAGCAGAGGAGAATACACACGGTAATGTGGAGGCCTCCTCGTAGGACAGATGCGATGGAATTGCCACAAGCGACTGCAGGAATCATTTCAGCTGTGTAAATAACTAAGAGCTGCTCAAATGCACAGGGAACATCTTGTATTCCGTCATAACACTGTGAGATGCCCCTCCGAGTATGCTTGCAGCAATTGTGGCTGTCTGCTCAGCAGGCAGCTTGTTGAGCATGAAGTTCACCGAGACACGGTCGCTGACCCTCCACCAGGTGACGTCCACGTCGATGGCAATCACCTCTCCTGCTATGTCCAAGCAGGGTACGAGGTTGGGCTAGATGCTGATGATTATGTGAGATATATCAGTGATTACAAATAATATAGAGGTGACAGACAAGCCTGGGTAGACTGACCAGGTGACCATTAGATTCCAGAACTCATTGCAAAGATAATTAAACCAAGTGTAAGCCTGAGGCGGAAATTAATCCCTGGAGTTAGACAGCATACATCTTG